CGGAAGAAAAATAACACACGAGTCCGGTGTACAATCAACACCAGCCGTTCTGTGTAGGTGCATGGGGGTGATGTAGTACAATATGCGATTGAACAATCCGTAGGTATACACATACACAGTTCGGTTTGACGGTAATGATTTTGGTGGCGGGGCATTAATAATATTACTCGAATCACAGAATTATAAATAATAACTTGGTACAGTTATCGTATAGCGTGGTGCTCGCTTGGTATACCGTCGACGGTTAACAATTTAGTTTCTCGCCTGGGTGAGCAATTGTACGTAATATTATTTATCACATATGATATAAATAGTGATAGATCACTGCGTATTTTTTATATTATAGGAGGAATCGAATAAACTATCCCACGAAAAAAAAAACGTATTTGATATCGAGAAAACTGAAGTACTTAACCTAACTACAGTTCAAAGTCGTCGATTAATTTTTTTACTTGGTCGTATTTACGACATAACGGCGGCGTCGTTATCGTAGCTTTAGCCGAGCAAACAATAATAATAATTATATTTACACATGTTTGACATAGTAATGTGCTCAGTTAAGTTGCACAACAATTAAATATTATAATTATTATTTATATTTGTTATTTATATCATTATGATATTGAAGTATGACGCAGCACGCGTTTGTTGTAGTTGTTGTGTTTTTTATTCTACATTTTATATTTTTTTAATAAACGTATTTTGCAAAAAAAAAAAAAAAATGATATTTAAAACCAACATAATATTATTTTGCTGTTAATCCATTTATTATTAAAAGCGGAGGTTTCATTCATGAGTCCTTTAGTTTTGATCATTTGCTATCTATATAATATCCAAATGGATAACGAATAAATAATAGAGTGATTTAGTATTTTCATAATGGGGTGTTAAATCATTTTTTTAATTATTTTTAGAAGAAAATATAAAATCTTTATTATAATATAATATAATGAGTATATGAGTGCGTTAAGAGAGAGAAACGTGAGTTACATAATTCGGKGAAAGAAGCCCCATTCACTGATGACACTTTGAACTTGTATTAAATCTTGATTTAATTTTTTCTTTTTATATATTTCTTTTCTTTTTTAATTTATTAATTTATTAATTTTTTTTTGAGTAGTTTATATCTTTATATTATATTGCAAACATTTTAATTTTGTGTTTTTACAAATTAAAAAGTACTAAACATTTAAAGAAGTAGAACTTTAATACAAATAATTTCCATTGGCAGTGTAGATTTGCGTGTGTTGTTAAGTCTTAAAAATATTTAAAAGTATTGGGGATCAGTCATTAAAATATGAAATGTATATTCATTTGCTAGGTATTACTAAAATAAATGTTCAAAATTATGCTATATTTAATGAGATTTTAGCATAAAAATTATTATATTGTTAGCTTATTACATATTTGATGTTTGCGGTAATAATAATAATTATGTATACATACATTTTTTTTTTTGTAGTTGCTCTAAAAATAAATCAATTATCAAAATGTATACTAATAAGGTATATCTGAAAAATATAATAGTATTTTGATTTCGGACTTCTTAGATAGAACATTTTCTGTAAACATTTCTCTAAATAAAATATTTTTAAGACTGATACATTTGTCCACAAAAATAATATAACTGGTATTTTGAAACTATCCAACATTGTAATTGAATGTTCATGAAACTCAGAAACTYACTCTTGTCAAACAAAATAGGTACATGCTTGATACTTGAATTATTACTTTTGTATCCAATTAATTACCCGTTAGCTTATTTAAAAAATATTTCGTTTTTAATATAATATTTAAAATCAATAAATATATATACATAGGTACCTATATATATCTTATAAGTGAGTACTTATTAAAATTCATACGTAATAGTGAATATTTGAATATTGTTTTGAATAAAGAACGAATTATGTTTTTTATTGTTCCACAACCACACATTGTTGACCGCCACGGCTGCATATTTTAATACGTGTTTATTTTCTACTGTAATTCAAATTTATTTTCATTTAATTTATAAAAAAAACTTGGACATTTTCATTAATATTGTTTATAATATAACAAATACTATCATGTAATGGTATCTCCGATTTGAGTATTAAGTGTATATAGTTTATCACGATGTTTCAAATTTGGTTTGTCGATCGTTAACAAAACTGCAGAGAATTCAGATGGACGTTGGATGGTGAATTTTTAAATAACAGCTGAATGTGACGTGTACACTAAACGCGCTACGTATACAACAAATTGTGTTGTCATATCATAATCAGCCATTCGTATTATATCGAGAAAAAAATGGACTATGATGTAGCTGAATTGCCTATCCTTGGCGCCGTGTTATCGTTAATCTAGTATTAAAATAATAAAGTATAATAGCTATGATTTAATAATTATATCGTCTAATGAAAAATAAGTTTCGCTTAATATAATCATATGCTAACATCGATACACAAAACTGTAAAACCTTGTCATTGGACTATATTCACCAAATATACCCAAGTTGCTGTTGTCATGAGTATATTATGCGGTATTGTTATGTAAGAGAGATTTTATTTTTTGTTATTTATTTAATTTGTTTTGACCTAATCTGCGATCGATGTTTAGCCCGAGGGTTTATATTCTAAGTTTCAAAACAATGTAGATTACAAAAAATAAATGTCTTCACGCAGGTTCAGATGACATGAATAATATTATTTCTTTTTTAAACTCAAGTCCTAGGAATACGGATATCTTAATAGTTGGCGATTTTTGTTTTTTATAAAATATAACTTCTCGTCAACATTACGTTTCACTGAATTGCAATATTTTTGCAACGTTTCGGGATCGAATAGTGCCGATAGTGCCATAAACAATCGAACTTTATTATAATTGATGCGGTTTTTTTAGGTTTTAATGAACGTTAAAATTATATAGGTAATTTTTTTTATGTTTATGGTTGTGTATAATATTATATACACGTTAGAACGTATAGGTATAATAATTGACACTTGTCATTTTTATCCAGGAAATGCGCACATGTCTTTCTCACGAACAGGCGCATCAGCGTGCACGCATAATTTTAATATAGGACTTGCCCCGGGGAAATATGTATCTACATGAATTAACCTTTTATATCAAACGCTAAATTATACGTATATTATACATGATACATCGTATCAAGAATTCTGAAATGAGAAAACGGATAAAATTTCCTCGAACTTTTAACTACACCGGTCGTATTCGTAACGTCTCCCGTGACAATTTAAAATATTATTTATTGCTGACCTTTCTCATAATAAGACTACATATTATATTATTATTTTCGTACGCGCGATGATAATAAGGATCGAATTTTTACCGGAACCGTTACCTCGCGGGATAAAAAAAAATGTATTCCWCGTRTGTGCGATACTTCTTATCATATYCGTGTATCCCCGGTGGGCCCATATACCTACGTGAGCGGTTACGCGATTTTTCTCAATCAAAATAAACCTGCTCGGCACATAGTGTATTAACTTTCATTCGTCTCGGCCGATTTTTGAATGCCTATTACAAACWTACTTAAAGTAACTAATCGATCCAATACTCGACAATGTCGGTATTAATATATAATAAATAGTAAYTAATTAAATTAATTAAATAAATAAACAGATATCGAAGTCGAGTCGACRTCGATATCGTTTTTTGTATAACTACCGAATGCGGATTCACTATCGAAACTGACGAGTAATATTTCAAACATGATTTGTCCAATACCGACGTTAAATTATTATTTACTCGTAAATTCGATTAGTACTTATACAATTATTAGTTATTTCGAAGCGTTATTTTTGTATTTACTACATGAATGCGYTTATTAAATTGTATAGCTGTCGTACGACGACGACGACCCAAGACCGATGTATTCTGTAAAAGATGGTGCGAGCGCATTTTTATATTTATCTTAATTTTGATTATGGATTCGGTACTCTGCGAGTTTTATTTGGCCGATGCAAAAAAAAAAAAAAAAATCCCGCTAATAAAAAATCGCACTCGTGGTCGGCGACGTTTCGGGTAAGAGGAGTATGGAAATATTATCGYCGGGAATATAAATCTCATCGCAGAGGGCGAGAAAAAAAAGGAAAAGAAAAACGCATTATAAATAGCACACTCGGCGACCGATTGGGCATTATTCATTTTTCTCTTTCTCGTTTTATTTTCGTCCGTGGTCTTTCACTAGTGGTATATGCACGTGTTCATCTATAACGGTGTGTGATGCGTGTCCCGCTATACGCTCAAAAGTTTGACGGTGATGTATTATGCGAAGTCGCCCACGCACCAAAAACTCTCCCTCTCTCTCTATTTTTCTCTACGGTATACCTCTCTGTCGCTATTTCTCACTATATATATATATATATACTTTTCTCGAAATTCCTTTCCTCCCTTCCCCTCTACCACTCTCTCTCACTCTATTTCTCTACATCTGTCTGATCGATTGGCCACYGATCGTCGATTGCTGGCACGGCCAGTGCAAAAAAGCGCTTTTTATAAGTACGCGTAAAAAAACCGCTATGCACGACAGCAGCTGATCGTCACACCGTCGGAAATCCCACGTCACGCGTATGTTTGAAATGAAAAATTAACAACCCCGACATCCATCCCACGTTGATGTAATAGTACAATTTTGGAGCAAACATACTTGCATATTATATATAATTATTAATTAAATACTACGGCGATAATTATAATTATAAAATATATAATAAATACATCCTGCATTGCAATAATAACACACTCGGATAATCGACGTCTGGCCGTCTTTTCGCTTTCCTTTTTGACCTCCAAAAAACTTGATTTTTTATCATTCGGCTTTCCCCTTTATTGTACTCTCCCCCGCTTACATTTATTTCCCAAACCCACCAGTGTGTTGTTTGTATTTATCGCCAGTTGTTTTTGCGTGTATACTGTCATCGTAACTTAATTTATTGTTTTTATCATTGTTTACTATAAACGCACTATAATTCTTTTTTGTAATGTGATTTCAGACGGATACAATGGAAGTGTGTTCCAGCGCGTCTTTGCTGGGACAACAACTCACTCTCGTCGAGCTGGAAAGGCTGTCGTTTATCGGACCTGAAGAGTTTGTTCAGGCATTCGCCAAGGACAGTCCGCACATTGATTCGTCTTTCAAAGACATGAAGAAAACCAAAAATCTCGAGTCATACGTTCATTGGTTCAACCGGCTCAGCTACCTAGTAGCCTCCGAAATATGCAAGGTAAGCTCACGGCTATAATATAATCGTTTTATTTTTATCGTTTAAATCAATTATTATTATTATCGTTGTCGTCTTCRTCAATAACATGTTCATGCCACCATTACCGTGTTTTAGCATTCAAAAAAAAAGCAGCGCGTCAAGACCATTGAGTTCTGGATCGAGACAGCTCGAGAGTGCTTCAACGTGGGGAACTTCAATTCACTTATGGCCATCATTGCAGGGCTAAACATGTCGCCGATAAGCAGGCTCAAAAAGACGGTAATACAATAACGATCGATATTATATTATTATTAGTCGTGCGAAAATACACGCTCGAGACCCATAAAAATGTACAATTTTTGAAATTTTTTATTTGTTTCAACCCGTTTAGTGGCACAAGGTTCAACARTCTGCCAAGTTTACCATACTAGAACAGTACATGGACCCGTCGTCAAATTTCAGCAGCTACCGGTCAACGCTTAAGGCGGCCCTGTGGAGAAGCGCTGGTGCCACTGATCAGCGACAGAGGGTCGTCATACCGTTCTTTTCGTTGCTCGTCAAAGACATTTACTTCCTGAACGAAGGGTGTCGAAACAGGTGATTATATTATGATAAGTAAAGCTATGAATATTTAGAAAAACACCTTGTATTTAGCCTGTTGTATAACATACCTAGTTTTCTTAGCACCAAGTTAGAACTCTATCTCTACCTATCAATAATTTTATGCATTATTAAACATTATTTAATAAAAGGCAAATTAAAAAATAAAAATAAAAAAACATTATTTATCTATTTTTAATGAAGACAATTTTGTCTTTCTATTTTATTATTAGCGAATTTTATACTGAATTGATTTGGTATTCAAGATGTATAGCCCTAATAATAATTGTGCAATTAATATATAATTATTAATAATTCTAATATATTAATATATTAAAAAACAAAGTGATGCATTATTAAATGCAATTCRCGGTGTATATAGGTAATTATTTATTCAWGCCAATCATTTTAGTTACTCGCTCTATATATATATTATATACTCGTATATCTAACACGCATTTTATATATTCAATATTATTAATAATGTAGTCGAGTTTGCTATTTTTATAAYCTGAATGAAYGGAAATATTTTAAATATTTTCTCTCATTTCATTATTATTTGGGATTTCCAAATTGATATAAATCAACAAAATAAGTTGAGGGATAACGTATTCATTAAATTTAAATTTATGTTTTTGTAAACTTTGAAATTTATACCGTAAATAATAAKAAGAAGAAAAAGAAGTTTTGTTAGTGGTCGAATGCTAAAGGCATAATGTAAAAAAAAAAAATTTGCATATATTTCGGAATATTCTGTATTCAATTTATTTTATAATTTATATTTATATCTTATTGTAATATAATTAAATCAACTAGACGTGATATTTTACTAATTTAATTATCCTTGACTGTCCTTAGTGCTAAACAATAGTCTGCCGTCAATAGGCACTTCGTTTCACTTTATTTCCATTCTCTGAAGTATACCTTTCCAGTTGTGTAACCATTTGTACAATCATTAAACGTCTATGCTATAACCATAATAAATGTATTCTACTCGATAAATTCGATACGTCGACGCGTAAAGTGTGTTACGCTTTACCAGCGCTTTGCTGCAGTGCAAAGGATAGTGTCCTCGTTCCGTTTATCGTTTAAAATGTGTCAATTATAAATTTTATCATTTCGACTACAGTCGCTTCGATAATTAAACGAGCAACCTTTGTTTTTATTGAAATCTACCATTGCCTTGAAAAGGGTGGGGAACGGCGTTAAATGCACTATCGAAGAGAAGAAACGTTAGGCTATATAATTACGCCGATTGATCGGTTTTCCAATCGTTGCGTATGATACATTATGATGTACCTATAATGATAATATGATCGACACAAATTACGATTTTTTTTTCACAGGCTTGACAATGGCCACATAAATTTTGAAAAGTTTTGGCAACTGGCCAAACAGGTGACGGAGTTCATTACTTGGAAACAGACGGCTTGCCCGTACGAGAAGAACGCCAATCTGGTGCTATTCCTCCTCACCACTCCAGTGCTCAACGAGAAAGGTTAATTTAGTTTGTTTTCTCGCTCGTTTTTTTTTTTTTTTTTAATCATAGAAATTGCCGTTTTTAATTTTGTTTTTATTATTTTCGTTTTTGTTTATCACAGCGCTCACATTATTGTCATTTGAACGCGAACCGCCAGACAACAGCGTGGAAAAAGAACACTACAAAACCCTCAAGTATGTTGGTTTTTATTATTATTATTTATTCAKATCAAATCATAATTACGTGCACAGTTAAAACGATCCTCTAATGCAGGCGCCGGCAACCCGTGGCCCACCAAATATATTTCATGGTGTTTAAAATTTCAATTTTATAGCTTAAATTGTTGTAAATAATATTTAATCATGACTATTATATAACAATGTGAGAACAAAGCTATGAGCGATATCTTAATCTAATAGTATATTTTGTATATTATATCGTCGATTACGACAAATACGTAACTGGTTATGGCCTTAGTACAGTTCGTTTCGAAACATTCCAACGTGAAGTTTAAATTTAAACTGTTTAATAATAATACCTATCAATTCAATGTAAAAATAAAACGTAAAATTAGTGATGAAAATCGTACATTCAACAAATCATGGACTGATTTGTATTTTTTTTATCGAAAATAAAGATAAACTGTTGTGTTTAATTTGCCAAAAAAATCATATTATCCGTAAAAGAGTATAATGTTAAACGTCACTATAAAACAGAGCACAAATTAAATTTTGACAATCTTACTGGTGATCTTATTAAAATGCACTCAAGAATTAATTAATAATTATTTTTAAACTTTAAAAATTTCTCTGCTAATGTTTTGAATTAAAAATTAGTTAATAAGAACAACCGCAATGTTAAACACATAATATGATTGTTGCTATATCTGTAAATATATCAGTAATATATATGTTAAAATTATATTTTTTTACATTTTAATTTTATATGCGCCCCCCTCATAAAAAACTGAAACAAATTATGACCCGTGTAGGTGAATAGGTTKCCGACCCCTGCTCTAATGTATAAACTAAGAATTTAAATTAACAATGTTATCATGAATTCAATTTATATTGTTTTTTTTCTTTCTTTGTCATTTCATTTTACATTTTACTACGACGTCTGACGAAACCGAAAATTAAAACAACGTATACAATACTACTTTAATTTAAAATATCTATTCTCAGCGATTTATGAACTTCACGTATCGGACAATATGATCAATGTACAATATATTATTAWAGTTAACATATATTTTGCGGTATCTTACAACCTTCTGTTTTTCACTACAGTCGTACAAAATACATAATTGTGCCGTAATTTAAACAATTATCTTTTAAGCATTACCGTAATARGTATTATAATCGTTAACTTCTGTACGTCAATTTAATATTATGAGTTAAGGATTATTGAATATATACTTCTCAATTCTCATCAAAAGACTATTACCTTAATTTCTGTGAACAAATATTAATGATTTTTTATTCACTCTTTACATATTATAGGTAGTGTAAYACAWACTTAAAAACTATTTTCAGTTACATAATATTTAACTAGAATAGTTTTGTAAAGTTTTTAAATCAAACAAGACGAAATAGAAAACTATATGAATTTAATAAATTATTAATATGTTTATTTTTTTTTTTTCAGGACTGCATCGTAATGTGCTGTATTCTCAATTGTTGGATACACTTCCGGACTTTTATTTTCCACTTCTTCTAAAGTCTACTTTATTTTTTATTTTTCAAAGCACAAAAAGGTGTATATGTTTTTTTTAAGTTTTATCTTAGCATTGACATTTATTATAATTATTATTATTGCACTAAAGGCTTCCATATTAGTGTTGCATTTTGAGACAATGTATATTATGTATTTTTACGAAAAGAGTAAAAAGTTAAAGAAAAATAATTATTGTGTAAAATTGAATAGGTTGTATTTTTATATGTACTTAAGCCGATTATATTTTATCGATCGTGCGATTTCATTGTCCGTATGATTTCCATTTCATATTAAGTTTAAATATTGTCAGTATTATTTCCAAACACACTAACAAGTTCCTCCTAATCAATTTGATTTAATTTAATTTATCTATAATGATTGTACGATGATTATTATCATCATGTATTTTATTTATTTATTTATTTTATTTTATTTTGTATAGTACAAACGTATTATGAATTTGTATAAATCATGAKCAAAAATAAAAAAAATCCTTAATTCAAAGAAAATCAACACTTGTGCAAACTTATTCTTGGTTTTCCTACTCAGTTCCATTATCGCGTTCTCGTCATATAACCTTGGAATTAAATTAACAATATAAATAATTTTTATCTACAAAAGATATTATACTAAACWGTATTGGGAAACCTAAGGAATAATCCCCGTTATTATTTATATATATATATACTTACAAAAGGCTCAGTCTCATCGTAAAACAGGTATCGAGATGAGCTTGATAACTTTATTAAGATCTTTTTTTTTACCAACAAAATTTAATTTAATTGTCAAATAATATAGTTATTAAATTAACGCCTAAAATGTAGGATATTAAAATTAATTACCATCGGTCCCATTTAATTAAATTTACAAATAATGTTTATTTTAATTGTTTATTTAACATACTTATAATATAAATATTACATGAATCACATTTAATTATATATTTTATAATATTTGATAAAACAGTAAAATAAGTTACAATTTTTTTTTTWAATTTACAACTTCACAAAGTTAAATATTGTTTTCTAAATTAATTCTTCCAGAATCGGACCGGAAGTAAGATATTAAGCGACATCTTTTGTATAACTTAAATATTTGTGGTATGCATCAAAATACTAAGCAAAATATTATATTCCTGTGACTGTTGGTCAGTGATTATTTTTTTTTTTTTTGTGACCTGGTGGTAACGGTCATTTCACTGAATAGTAAAACGCTTTAAGATTTTCTTGTGCATATTCAATAGAATATTAACATCAATTAATCCTCTTAAAAAAGGTTATTCAAATGTTGATAGTAAGTTTTTTGATATACTTTAAATTAAAATCCTGCGAGCTTTTAGAGGTTTTGATATAAATTATTATATATAATATTAAATTGGTCAAAGGCTGATCAACGAGTTTTCCATTCGAATTGGTAAGTGTGTTGGGTATTGAGTTATTCTATAAGTAATTGTTATAGTTATTAGTATACTATTACCAGTGATTCCAGATGATTGTTTGGGTGGTTAGAGTTGCTGCTCGTTATAATCACTCTAAAAACCTCATAGTAGTCCTTGCAGGTCGTTCTCATTCACGAGTAGGTATTGAAGATCACAAGACCGAACACGACGAAAACAGAACTAAAGTATTATTGCTAGGTAATGCCATGGTGAGCTATATACGTAGCTTTAACAAGACGAAAATGTTATTTTTTCAAATAATTCATAGGTTTTTTTATATTTTACTAAAATTATTTATTACATATACAGTAAAATAAGTATAACAAMGAGTACAATAAATTCATAATTAATGGTTATCGACAGGAGGTTAGTATTTTTACATCGGGTTAAAAGGCGAAAATTTAAAAAATGCGATGATGTGGCACTGAAATCGTACCTACACAACTATACATGGGCGCAAATCACAGGGGGCGTAGTTCGTTCCGGTCAAATCATCGAATGATATTATAATACAATATATGTCATCGATATAATATTATGTGTATAAATCGACGAACGCAAATATATTGTTRTATCAACGTTATGAATCATAGTATTACTAGTATAGTATAATATTGTACTATGTGGTTCGAATGATTCATGTGTCCAGCTGCTTGTACGTATAAAGTATTATAATAGTCGTGACTGCCATCGTCACGTTGGTATATTATGTTTAATGGTCGTCGAACTATCGGGGTTGTTTTCACAAAACGACAACGCCGTACACGAACTTAGAGTCCCGGATGGTGGTATACATCTCACACGCACCCACGCACAACTGTTGTGAAACGGTTTATAATGGTCTGCAGTCAGCGTGTCGGCCGTGAATGGTTGTCGTATATAGTATAACATAAATGTGATGGAACACCAAGCATATTAAGCTCGTCTGCATTTTTTAAATGCATTTTTAAGMGAATATACTTGAGGCATACAATAAACTTTAAATGTTTTACTTACAATTTCATCTGTCGGGGCGAACGTAATATAAAACTAGCTAGGACCAACCATTTTCAACGTCTAAAAATAGAACGTTACCTTTGATAATAGATACGAATACCTATATGGGTCCTATGTTTGTGATAAAACGAAACATACCAACACGGTGTCCGAGACCATCCGTTCATTTTCCGATAATACAACGCCGTTGTCAATACACATCATAGTTATTGTAATTTCAATCTCATATCAACTATCGCCACTTTTTACAATTGATTTCAGTGGTTTCAGGTGTGGAGCACCTGTCGTAAGCAGTAAGCGACTGCAAAAATCATGTGGTCCGATATTATGWTGTCCGTGAAATGAAAAACTGCAGGTGGCGCTTGCGTGTTGGTGTAAWAAGTGAAAACTGAAAATCATCGGACTATATTAACGGTGATTAAAAAGAAAAAACTGAGCTTGGACGTTTTTATCGAGACAAACGGAGCTGCTTAACCGACAACGAACTCACGCACTACACCTTACCTCTGACCCACGAGACAGTAGGTATATTACATATTTATATTATTATGATTATAAATAATACATATTATTATATTATGTGTTCGGTATTTTGTTATAGTATGATTGAGTAAAATGAATTCGTTTTTATTTTGACAATATATTATACTCACTCAATGCTATATGCATAACTTTGAATTCGTGAAATCGGCAACACCGCACCATTTCATAAAACTCGTAATGTCAGAAATAATATTTGACTATCGGTTTTTTATGGAATCGGCAAAACATTTATCCAGTTAAGATATAACTGGTAATAATATCTGTATTGATAAAACGTCTTGACACTGGATTTATAACTAATAGCGTTTTCCACCACAATGCACTTATTGCACCAGCGCATATTTTTAAGTTCCATCGGCAAAATTAATATGCACTTAGCAGACTTTTTTTATGTTTCGCCTCAATGCATTACGCCAGTTTTTTGCGCTCAGTGCTTTGATAATCGGCGTATCGTTATCATGATAAGTACTACAATACCCATTAAATATTTTATTATCTTTATATATCAGTGATAAGTATAGATTTTATGTTTCATCTACACTTATTGTATAGTTGTATCAGCCCAYACTAGTACGATTATCAGTGAACTGTACCACTACCACTTTGGTGCAATAGTGTGGTATGGTGGAAAATGCTATAATATATAGCTTAATAATAGTCGAAATTTTTTTGAAACGTTTAWCATTTACAGGAAATTCTAATATAAATATAATTTTGTGAAAAATTTTGAACTAAATATAATTTTTCTTTTTAAAACACACATCGTTGTAAAACAAATTCATTCATAACTCTGATCAATAATCTTAAATAACTCTAATAAAACCATTCTTCGAGAGCACGTACTGCGTTTATACACATTTATTAAACGAATCACCTCGTTTGATACGATCCTATCATTATCATCACAACCGT